AATTTGTCATAAATGTACCAATTTGGAGTTTTTTTAATATTAATCTTTTTTTACCGGTCAAAGTCAACAGTGAAGTCCACGTGCTCCCACTTGAGAGGCCCAGACCACTTAATATTTTCTCGAGATCGGTGTGCCTTCGCGCATCAAATCCCCTCTCTCTCTCTCTCTCTCTCTCTCTCTCTCTCTCTCTCGCGCTCTCTCTCTCTCTGTGAGTAACGGAACTGAAAGGAAGGCTTCTCGATGATCGCTCCGCCGCATTTCGTCTTCCTTCTCCTCCCACTCTTCGTTCTCGCCACCTCCGTCCATGGCGCCGACCCTCTGTACCACTTCTGCGGGAGCACCGGCAACTTCACCGCCGACAGCACCTACGACGCCAACCTCAACGCCGTCCTCACCTCCTTCGTCGCCACCGCAAACGCCACCGTCGGTAACGGCTTCTACAACCTCTCCGCCGGCCAGAGCCCCGACGCCATCAACGCCATCACTCTCTGCCGAGGCGACGTCGGGGCTGCCGATTGCCTGAGCTGCCTGAACGACTCCACTGCCGAGATCGCTCGCCGGTGTCCGGTGCAGAAGGAGGCGATCCTCTGGGACGACTATTGCATGCTTCGGTACTCGAACCGGTCCATTATTGGGGTGATGGAGGCTTCGCCTGTCTTCCACCAGGCGAACTCCAAGACTGTCTCCAACAATGTCGATCAGTTCAATCAGGTTCGAGCAAGATGTTTTCAGTAAATTTAGGAGTTCTTGTCGCTTTTATCTATATATCTACATGTAACGGCTCTTGTTCCTGATTAATACATTGCGTTGCATTGCATTTGATTTCATTCCATGAAAGCACAGTGCATGCTTCTTCACGTCTTGACTCCGTTTACTTTATCGAAACTTTCCAAAGCGTCGTCATAATAACCATGAAAATCCTCATCTCCACTTTACAGTGTGTCCAACGTTGTGGATCAGTTCGATCATGTTTATATTTTTAGTCTAATTAATCCTGATTTAAGTGCACTTTGTAATGCTTTACCTCTACCCAATACTTTTTGTTTGGTTAATGAGATAATCTAACCGTAGCTGGTGTTGTGATTATGTTTGTTTTTCTTGTTTTCTTGACTTGTTGAGTGTGTACCAACCAATAGCCCATTTTCATATGCAAGACAGTTTCCTACATAGCTCACGTTATATCATGGTGCAAATTATGTTCTTTTTTAGTTTTTCCCTTATTTTTTGTTGTCTCTGCGACTTGTTCTCGAGTTTCCTGTAAGCCATTAGAGATTAGCACATACCTTTTGTAGGAATTGTGAGCTCACAGGAGCATTTGATATTCGGTACCAATATTGGAGAGCAGCTAAATTGCATAACGCTTAAGATCGTTGTTTCTGGATTTTATGGTTTGGGTTGTGAAAAGTACTAATTCTTGTTTTCTTCTCCTGACAATTTATAGTTTTGGTTCTGTTTTACAGGTTTTGAGAGATCTGATGGATAATTTGAGAGACCGAGCTACAAATGGCAATTCGACAACGAATTTTGCCTTAAAAAATGCAACGGCTCCAAACTTCAAAACTCTGTATGGACTTGTGCAATGCACTCCAGACTTATCGCAGCTACAATGCAACGATTGTTTGGTGGGAGCTATTGGAGAGATTCCTCGGTGTTGTAATCAGGCAGAAGGAGGGAGGGTTGTTAGGCCCAATTGCAATATCAGGTTTGAAATATACCGTTTTTTTTATGCTTCGGCGTATGACCCGCCGCTGTCAGCACCACTGGCACCACAATCACCAGTTTCTCCTCCGCCTCCTCCAACAAATAACCCATCCACCAAAGGTACTTCCTTTTGATGTACAGTTACCTATGCCAGAGCATTCTATCTGTGTTTCACACACATGATAAAACATGTGAGCGAGCATGCTTTTAAGTTCAATGGACTCCGACGATAGGGGTTGTTGTTCTCGTTCCCCTCCTCCCCCTGCTCCTCCTCCTCTGAGTATGGTCGCGTTAAGTGGATTTTGGAGCATGGTGAAATTCAACTTGTGATTTTGAGTGTAATGAGTTCCCGAGACTGAAAGATTTTTGCATACTACATATAGGTTTCCTCTTGAATGAGGTCTAAGTATGAAATAACTAGCAGATGAAAAATTAATGACACTTCCAATGGCATGTTTAGTCTTTCTTTGTTTTGATTGAAATACCACCGTCTGAAATAATTTCATCTGGAGTCTGATGGAATAATGTGCAACCCCTCCTAAAATTATTTTTGGTAATTGGGTCTGAACACTGATGTCTATGAGTTTATAGTCTAACGTAAAAACTCTTCCTTTTCCAGGAAAGATTACTAACTCAGGTCGTGTTGCCCTCATTATCACAATCCCAGCTGTTGGATTATCTCTTTTAATTGCTGGAATGTTAAGCATCTGTTTGAGGTCAAGAAGATTGAAGAAAAATTTCGAAGGTAAGTTCTGATTACTTCCGCATGACTGATTTTCATAGAATGCTGGGTGAATACGATCTATGTGAAACATGTCAGCAGGCAATAGGTTCAGTCATGATGTGAAAAAGCTAGCAACATCTCAGAAATTCAGAGGTCAAAGATTTCTGACTAAACGAGGACAGATTTTGGGCGATAGATATCAAAGTTCCTTGATTGCTCTGGAAAACCTTTTATTTGCTACCATCACCCAGAGGAGAAATTTCTTCCATTGGATTAACTGTTAAAAAAGAATGAAGTACTATTAACTGTTAAACCAGCAGACGGGCTTACCGATTATGTGGAATTAGACAATAAGCAACTTCTGATTTTCCACTTTGTAGCTGTACCTGTAGATGAAATAAAAAATGCAGAACCCCTGCAGTACGACTTGAATACCATCAGAGCAGCAACAAATGACTTCACTGACGCAAATAAGTTGGGACAAGGTGGATTTGGCGCAGTTTACAAGGTAATCTTTGCAAATTGTTCATTCATAAAATAACGAGTGAATTTGAAACATTTTACATGTAGATGGCTGCTTTTTGCATTCTTTTGCAGGGAACACTAGCCAATGGACAAGTTGTACAGTGAAAAGGCTGTCTGTAGATTTGGGACAAGGCCATCAAGAATTTAAGAACGAGGTCCTCTTGGTTGCAAGGCTTCATCATCGGAATTTGGTTAGGCTTTTAGGTTTTTCCTAGAGGGGAGAGAGAAAGGCTTCTTATATATGAATTCATACCAAACTCAAGCCTGGACCACTTTATATATGGTATGGTCATGCAATTCTATTCCAGCATCATCCGATTCAAGAGTTATTGAAGTGCATTTTGCTAATTTGCATTTAGAAAGTCACCTTGCGTTAGTTCCATTAGCTATAACCTATCGCAAATATGCTATGCAGATCCCGTTAGGCATAGGTAGCTGGATTGCGAAAGGCATCAAAAGATAATAGGAGGCATTGCTCGTGGGCTTCTTTATCTTCATGAGGATTCTCGGCTCCGAATCATTCATCGGGATCATAAAGCGAGCAATATTTTGCTAGAGGCAGAGATGACCCCCAAAATTTCAGATTTTGGTACAAGAAGGCTATTTATGGTGGATCAAACTCAAGACGCCACAAGCAGGATTGTCGGCACTTAGGAAGTAACAGATAGCATAATATCTTAAATAAATCTGGTTAATTCCTATACTACTCTCCATATAATCTGAACAGATTGCAGATAAGGCACGGCATAATTATTGGAATTGTGTTGAAAGTGCTCATTATTCCTGTGATGCAGTGGGTACATGGCTCTAGAGTATGTGATGCATGGATCGTTCTCAGTCAAGTCAGATGTCTTTAGTTTTGGGGTGTTGCTACTAGAGATTATTAGTGGTAAAAAAAGTAGCCGCTTTTGCAATGGGGATACCACGGAGGACCTTCTTAGCTATGTAAGAAAATATCTTTCAATCACTCTCCTTCCCCCAAAGAATCACTGGAAAAGAGTGGTGGACCCTAACTTGAATAAGTCGAGCAACTGTTTTTACCATACCGAGTTTGCGTTTGTGATTCATTGCAGGCATGGAGGAGTTGGAGGGAAGGGACCCCCTCAAATCTCATACATCCTAATTTGGCCAATGGTTCGAGGACCGAAATGTTGAGGTGCATTCATGTTGGATTGCTGTGTGTGCAAGAAATCGAGGCCGACAGACCAACCATGGGTGCGGTGGTTTTGATACTCAATAGTTACTCCACCACCATGCCACTACCATCATGACCTGCATTCATTATGCACAGTATCCCTGAATCTGACACAGCGTCGCGAGTGACGGCGGCAACTCATTTGAGTCAATCCGAAAACGGATAAATCCAAGAATTAGGGAACGAGGCTTCCATCACCGAGTTATATCCTCGATGATCACGGGTTGGAGTCTAAATTTGTGTGAGTCTTCTGTTCCATTTGTGTGAGTCTTTTGCTAGGAGATGAGATGTATATGAAACTTCCCACGAGTCAACTACATTGTGATATCATGTATCTTAAGTTATTCTCTACCTTTAAACTATCTGAACCTGGAAGGAGACTGTATGGAATGACAAGCAATGTGTCATATCACTACATAATTTGATATTGCATATTTTTCATGTGTTGAATGGGTCGATTCATCCTGTTGCATGGATGTTGGAATTTGGGATGATTATATGCCCCAATGTTCTTAAAAATGGGTGAAGTCCGTCGCTTATATTACTGGCTATAGATGGTATTTACTCTGAAAAAGTTACTTCAATTGCTTATTATACTAATCAAAAAGATATTTGAAAGTTACTATGCATTATAGAAATGTATTAGTCACTTATGGATGTTGAATTTAGAGATATCAATAGTTAGTTTCTTATGAGAAAACTACTGATTCTCTTGAATAATTACTGTACTTTCCCACTTTAAATTTTTTGACTAATTAGAGAAATTACTAGCTACTGAAATGTTTAAACTTACTTTTATATGTGTTGATGCAACTTACAGATTAATTTTTTGACTGATGTACATATCCGGAGCTCAGCGGACAACTGCATTGGTCAGCACGTTACAAGGTCATGGTAGGGGTATCGTGCGGATTGCTATACCTTCATGAAGATTCTCGGCTTCAAATTATTCATCATTATCTCAAAGCCGGCAACATTCTGCTAGATGCTGACATGAACCCAAAAATCTCAGATTTTGGTGCAGCCCGGATCTTCAGTACTGATCAGACTCAAGCAAGCACTAATAGAATTGTTGGAACATAGTAAGTTCAACATCGGCTAATTTGACTTGTTATTGGCGATGAACAATGTGCCATTGGCATTGAACTTGGAGCATTGTCTTGATAAGCAAAAAAAGCAGACTCGTCCTAATTTGTTTCAGGCAATTTATATCCATAATTAAACATTCTCTCATTTCTGTGTTAACATATTGTGCTCAATGTAGTGGCTACATGTCTACTGAGTATCTGATGTTTGGACACTTCTCCGTAAAATCTGACGTCTTCAGCTACGGTGTGTTAATGCTGGAGATTATAACTGGCAAAAAGAGCAGCCAATTCTTCGCATTGGACTGCGATGAGGACCTGCTAGGCTATGTGAGTATCTTAATAAAGCCCTTTTTTCGGCTAACATCACTTTTAATAGAAGTACAATAGTAATTTGAACAAAAATTACTAATGTAACTATTCATTTAGGTTTGGAAGCAGTGGAACGACAGAATGCCGTTGGAAGTAGTGGACCCAGCTTTAAGTAGTGCTTATTCCGCGAATGAAGTGATCAGATGCATGCACATTGGCTTGCTCTGTGTCCAAGACGACATGGAAGACCGACCTACCATGGATTCAGTTATTCTGATGTTAAACAGCGATTCTATTAGCATCCCGGTGCCTCAAAGACCTTCGTTCTTCTTTCCTGGTAAGAAGGACAAACAGGCACCTTGTGTTCTGAACTCAGATCAAACTAACAGCAAGGTGGACCAATCTATTAGCAAGACAATGTCGCCGCGGTCTCTGACTGATAGTGATCTTGCTGATCCAGGTCCATGGTAACCGAGATTTTGAGGCTATCATTTAGATCGATTCATTGTTTAGATTACCAGATAAATCGTCTGTGTACACTTCACAGTACATCTTCATTTCAAGGATTGTTTTAGAGGATTGGAGTAGTGGATACCTTTGATGTAAAGTGGATATCACTTTTGCAAATACCGTTAATGGTGGTAGCCTATAAAAGGTTTCAAGACCAATCAGTGAACTTTGATATCTATTGCCCATACTGAATCTGTCTTCATTTAGTCAGAGATCACCAACCTCTGAGTTTCTGAAAATTTTAGTAGCTTTTGCACATCATGGCATTATCATATTGAGCTTTCTCAGTAATTTCTCAAGAAGTCTGCCTGAACCTATTGGCTGCTAATATGTTTCACATAGGATTTTATTCACCCTCAGAATGAAGTATTCTATGACAATCAATCACGCAGAAGTAATCAGAACTTGCTTTCAACATCTTCCTTCAATCTTCTCCGCCTCAAAACAGAGGCATAATATTCCAGCAATCAAAAGAGATAATCCCAATACGACTGGTGTTAGTATTCTTTCCTGAAAAAGGAAGAGCTCTTATGTTAGACTATAAACTCGTCGACATCAGTGTTGAGACCCAATTACCGAAACTAGTTTTTAGGAGGGGTTGCACATTTAAAGCAGTCCTTGGTGTAATTTAATCGGTTTCTGGATGAAATTACTTCAGATGATGGTATTTCAATCAAAAGAGAGAAAGACTCATCATGCCATTTGAAATGTCATTAATTTGTCATATGCCAGTTATTTCATACTTGTAACTCATTCAAGAGGAATCATAAGTGTAGTACTCGAAGATCCTTCGTCTCGGGGACTAAATACACTCAAAATCAAAAGTTGAACTACATCATGCTTTAAAATCCATTTAATGCGACCATACTCAAAGGAGGAGGAGCAGGGGAGGAGGGGAAGGAGAACCACAACCCTCAGTCTCTATACTCTGCTTTTGGCTTATTCAACACGGCCTCATTCTCCTTGTTTGCATTCACTGGGGTCAATTCCTTCAAGATTAAACTTCAAATTTCAAAACCCATGATATTAAGGTTAATTGTTGTGTTTGTTTAGCGAAAAACTCCAAATGTTTTCCATGAGAATTATTTTCAAGAAAAATTGCCTGCATTCAGTAATTCTCTCTCGTTAAGACTCAAAAGCTCCAAACGTTAAAATTAAGATGGAAAAAACTTTTCGATATTAGATCTTACTTTCAAAAGTTATTCTCTCTCATCGCTCATAATAGTAAGGTGAGAATGGTCCTTCATTCTAAAAAAGTAATCAAAAAGTGGTACCACACTTAGCATCCAAATCGGACGAAAAAGGAGAGAAGAAAGAAATGTCATCATAGAATTTAAGAAAAAAAAATCCTAAATAGGCATTTCCACAATATGAGTCACCTAGCATTCGGATAAGCAGAAATGTAATAGTCTATCGAGACAAGATCTAAATGGTAGTACTCTCTATGAACAAATATAAGATTAACACATTCACATATTTTCAACATCTCACTCAAAAGAAGGAATCAACCTTCAAAGCATGTTCTTCTTTATCCGAATAGAAAGAACTTATTAAGTATTCACTATCTAAAAATTAGGGAACATGACACAAATGGTCCATGAAATGTGGTCCAATGTGCAATGTGTTTCTTAAACTTTTAATTTATAATAGTCTATCGAGACAAGATCTGAGTGATAGTACTCTCTATGAATGAATATAAGATTAACACATTCACATAATTTCAACATCTTATTTAAAAGAAGGAATGAACCTTCAAAGCATGTTCTTCATTATCCAGATAGAAAGAAGTTACTAAGTATTCACTGTCTAAAAATTAGGGAAAATGATTCATGAACTTTGGTCCAATATGCGATGTCATCCCTAAATTTTAAATTTGTTTAATGTAGTCGCTGAACTTTTGGTACATGTTCATTTTAGTCTCTAGACTATATAAAAATTGTCATTCCATCAATTCAAGTTCAAGGACAATATTAAACATTTCCATATGGTTCAAGGACTAGATTGAACATAAACTAAAAGTTTAGGGATCATATTGAACAAATTAAAAGTCGAGGAACGACATTGCACGTTGAAATAAAATTCATGGACAACATTGCACATTGAGTTAAAGTTCAAGAATCATTTGTGTCATTCTCTAAAAACTCTTTAATTTAGATGATAAAAAATAGGATAAATTACAAAAAAAATCCCATGGTCTATTGACAATTGTTAATGTGCTGAGGCCCCTATGCAATTTTGGTTAGTGCGGATTACTTTGACAGATTTGATTTTTGAACTCATGTTTAGTCCCAATTGTATGACTGTCTCTTGTGAGTACATATCCACTTTTCAATTCACTTTTTCGTGCATGTCTTAACCCAGACTATCTAATATTTCCTCTTGAAGCATGATCGAGGTAGCTTACTAAACCCACGAGGGGGAAACAAAATTAACAATACATCGCTACTTAAAGTTTGTCATTCAGATGTGTAGTACCCAAGACACCATTTTCCGAGGTGGTAAGCACATCTAAAATAGGGTAAAAATTGGTCTTTGCATTGGTAAAACAACATAAAATATGGTAAATGTTACATTAAAAAGACCATCATTCACATTGATTTGCCGAATAATACGTCAAATATGGATAAGATGCAGATGTCAATACATATGTAAAATATATCCTTGCAATAATAAATATATGAATAGAATTTCATGACATGTTTAGTTCAAATTCTATTTAGTTTGATGCAAAAGAAAAGAGCTTATTAATTGGTTGTATCAACATACTTATTGATCTTGATGTCAAAAGACTAAGCAAAACCACCACCTATCAAACTAAAATATAAATTTTGCGCAGGTGGATATGCAAATCTCACGTGACAAGGATTACTATGAGCCAATAGTTGAACATCTCTAGTCCTTTCACTCTCTTCTCTCCTTTAGTTTCTATAGAGATTTTGTTCAGTCAAAGTCTTTGCTCAGGAAATCTTCCAGTGCTGTTGCTTTCTTTAATCAATTTTCCTGACATAACAGTTGAACATCTCTCGGCCTTTCATTCTCTTCTCTCCTTTTGTTTTTATAGAGATTTTGTTCAGTCAAAGTCTTTGCTCGTGAAATCGTGTCCAGTGCTGTTGCCTTCTTTGCTCTATTTTCGGGTCATATCAGTTGAACATTCTTCTAACTCCTAACTTGATATGACCGGCAATCACATTCGTCAAACAATAGCGGCGATGATTGAAGAGAGAGGGAGAGAGAGGATAACAGACATGATGAAATTGTTGTTGGGTGAGTGGAAGAGGCAAGGGGGGATTTATGATAATTTAGGTTCGTTTACCATAATATCTTTCATTTACAAAATGGATATTTTATGGAATTTCGTGCGCAAATTTCAGTAACCAAAACTGCCCCCTTTTTTTCTCTATATAAAGGAAAGACGATGGAAGATGGTGAGATGAATCCTTAGAAAAATCGTCGGTATAAACTTTTCTTCGCGATTGAGATCTAGACATATCTTTACTTTTATATTAAGAGTCACGTTAACAAGTGCCTTCGGAACATTTCATTAAGCATATATTATATGGAATAACTTCTATTTTCAAAACTTTACATAACACGAGAAAGCATTTCGAAACTGCAAAATTTTTCTAATTATTAGTTGTTTAATAAGTGTTCTGGAAATTCAGTGAAGAAGTTCAGATGTTAGACTTCATAGCCTTTTCCAGATTGGGCTTGAGATTGTTACTTTTATAGTCAAAGTCTGATTTCAAATACTTAAACCTAATGTTCAAATAAAAGACGAATAGCAACCGACATAGTAAAATGTACATGTTACTCATTCGAATTATTGTTAAGTCCACTATTCATGTAGAAAAATTCTTACACAATCACCATTGGATGAGTTGCACTTGTGTTTGGAGTTTCTTTGTAATCGAATTATTCTACACATGGCCAGTCACCGGCCATTGCAAAAATCTTAAAAAATTGGTCAAAATGAGAAGTTTAGGACCGAATTGCTAGTCGTGCAATGGGTTTAGGATTTTTTGGACAATTATATCAATAAAACCCAGTGTAAGCAGACTAATTTGCCAGATGAACGGAAATTGAGCATGTGAAGACTTTTAGGTCGGACTGAGATGAAAAACCAAAGTATACGGTGTTGACTGAGCAAAGAAATAACAAGGCAATGACTGAGAAAACCATGAAAGTACAGACGGCAAGTTGGAATAAGCCCAAAAGCAGAGATCATGATAGTGGATCTGAATGGGGAATATATGTTACAATCAGTAATATTAGTTATTTTAAAACTAGTTTACAATATTAGTGTATTAAGTTAGTAAGATGCTTATTGATATAGAAAAATGATGAGTGAAAGACAGGTTAGACAAAATTAATATTGAATAGTTGATGCCGAGATATATAACTTTTAACATCCGAAAATGAGCAGGGAGCATAGTATCGAGAACAGATAGAATGGAGACTAGTTCTCGTGAATAATGAACTATTGTGCTTTCCATTCAATTTAAAGCACAATAGTTCATTTTTTTACGATACTTGCTAAAAATGTTGAACTTAGAAATCGCAGACAAGTTTCCTTCCTACTTAACGTGTAAGGTATTCATGAATTAATCCACCACACGTTATGTTAACTTTATTGCGTGTACGACAACCGCTGCATAATTTCCACTGATGGAACCTTGGGTTGGTCAACACAATATACTTTTCTTAACTTGACTTCGTCTTGCCGATTGACTTGAACATTTCAATGACAGATTAAACCCAACTGATCTTTTCGATCGATATAAATCCATCCCTTTATTCAGCCTCCACCACAATAACCAAGCTAAAACTTCTATTCTTTCATCAAGAAGTGGAGAGATGATTAATTCTCTCATATCCATGGTTTTGTACCATGTATTTCTGCTTACATCGCAGGTTCTACTGCTAGGGACGAGTTGTGATGCGAAGAACGATCACTTATGCGTTGCTTCATCTTGCGGCGAGGTCCGTAACATAAGCTTTCCCTTTCGATTGAAGGACGATCCAAAAAGCTGCGGCAATTCTAAGTATGAGCTAGCTTGTGAAAATAATCGCACTGTCATATATCTATATGCCGGCCGATATTATGTAAAGTCGATTAGTTATAATCTCGATCATGATGGTTACGTCTTTGGTGCCATCAAGGTGGTTGATGATGGACTGCAAAAGGGTAATTGCTCGTCCCTCCCTCATTACTCAATAGCGAACTCCAACTTTAGTCTGTCCTCCAATCAATACCATCTTCCTTATGCATCCTTACCGATGATCTTCATGAAGTGCTCACAACCCGTTACTTCAGCTTTGTATATCAATACCAAACCATGTATTGATGGAGCATACTCTGCCGACACGCCCCCTAGTATTTCCCAAATGAAGGAGTACTCGTATGCTGTACAGAGTGGCTCTGATCTAAAGGTAGGTGATATCAAGGATTCTTGCACCATAACCATGATAGCGTTGGCATCGGATATCTCAGGATGGAAAGGAGATCAATATAATGGGAGCTCACGATACAAGGACGTCCACAACATGATGTCCCAGGGATTCGATCTCACCTACTATACAGATCCATCTTCATTCTTGGATTATTCGTTTTGCCTCGTGGGTTTCAGCTTTGGAGGGATGTTCTGCCAACTCCGTAAGTGTCTTTCCATGAAACTTTTCTTTCTTACATTTATAAAAGCTATCCTTGAATGATATTGCATATATTCATATATATATATATATATAGACCGTGTAGACCAAGTTTACTTGAACAATTTATTGTATAGTTTCACAATGAGACCCATATGATTATTGATTTGGATGATGTTCATTCAAATAACTCGTAGACCATACAGTTCGGATTTTACATGATCCAACTCAAGTAAGAAATCGATTGAGGTGTCAAAATGGGTCATGGACCCGTTGTTTGACTTGTATATGGATTTTTTAAACATTAAAGGGTCACGTAAACGTGTGTTAAAAAAGTTGAAGTTTAATCAAATTGGGTCTTCATGAATTTCTGGAAAAGCCATTTTTGGGCCCATTTTTATCCCTGACCAAGAAGGCAAATGGCTCGGGCTTCAAAGAAGCAGGCCTTCATGTAACGCCCCTGTGTAGTCCACCGAAGTTTAATCTCGCTGTTGCGATCGATTGCACGGTCCACCTTCTGCAACTATTGTCATACCTTAGGCTCCGTTCGTTTGGCGGAAAATATTCTCCCGGAAAATATTTTCCGGGTTTTCCAGTGTTCGGGAGGCGGAAAACGTTTTCCGTGGGAAAATATTTTTCTTCCCCCCTTCACAAAATAGCCTAAGTCTATGGAAAATGACTTCCGCTTCTTAAAAAACGGAAATCATTTTCCGGAGCTTCTTCTTCTTCTTCTTCACTAAGGTCGCCGGCCGCCGCCATGTTGCCGCCCGCCGCCGGTCGCCGGCCGCCGCCCAGTCGCCGGTTGGCGGCCCGCCGGTCGCCGGCCCCGCCCGGTCGCCCGGTCGGCGGCCGCCGCGGTCGCCCGGTCGGCGGCCGCCGCCGGTCGCCGGCCGCCGCCGATCGTCGGCCGCCGCCGCCAGTCGCCGTCCGCCGGTCATGGCCGCCGCCGCCGCCGCCGGCGAAAAATATTTTCCGAAACTTTTTCATATTGATCACCGAACACCGAAAAATTATGTTCCGGGAAAATATTTTCCAGGAAAATGACTTCCGGGAAAATATTTTCCAAAAGGAGAATATTTTCCGCCAAACGAACGGAGCCTTAATGTCAATAAGTTTTCTACATTGAACACAACTTAAATAAAACAATATAATCATTTCCAATTAGAGTAATATTGAATTTTTCATTTTGAAAAACATAATGATTTTCTAACATTTAAATACTTTTATCAAAAGTCGTAAATTGGGAACAGAAGCCCCCAGACAACCCTTCAAGTCTATGCATATGAATCTATTATTGGTTCATTTCCTGTTCTTATATTATTGCTTGGCGTTGTTTATTGGTGCCAATTTTTTGAATTTAATCCAATTTGTATTCCTTCCATTGTTAGTTTATATTATTATTCATTGATTGGTCGTTCATTGTTTGGAAACTTTTAATGAATTTTCTTGTTTTTCTGCAGTCAAACCTGTACGGGTCACCACCGTAACTGTTGCTGTACAAACAATTGTAAATATCCCCTTTGTCTTTGGTATGAATGATTCTTTTCTGCTCGCAGTTTTTCAATATCTTACTTGTACCACGCCAAACAGAAAAACCTCTTTAAATGTGCTTCACATCATTAGAAAGACCTAAGAAAAGATTACTCTATGCTAATCTTTTGACAATTTTCTCTGCAGTTCAGTTCATCGCGGCAAAATTTGTACTCGGAGCTCCATGTGTGTTGATATTTCTAATCTACAAGTGGAAGAGAAGACACCGTGCAATGGATGCAAACATCGAAGAATTTCTTCAAGCTCATAAGAACTTTTGGCCTATAAGGTACTCTTACTCAGACATCAAGAAAATCACAAAAAATTTCAAACACAAACTAGGGGAAGGAGGATATGGTTCCGTGTACAGAGGAACACTTAGAAGTGGCAATGAAATTGCAATTAAGATTTTGAACAAACCAAAATCTAATGGTCAAGACTTTATAAGCGAAGTGGCTACTATTGGAAGGATCCACCACGTCAATGTTGTGCAACTTGTTGGCTATTGTTTCGATGACTCCAAACAAGCTCTCATGTACGATTTCATGCCGAACGGATCTTTGGATAAGCACGTTTTTTCTAGAGATGACAATAGATTTCTTGATCATAAGAAATTATACGAGATCTCTCTTGGTGTGGCTAAAGGAATAGAGTATTTACATCGGGGATGTGACATGCAAATTCTACATTTTGACATCAAGCCTCATAATATTCTTTTAGACCAAAATTTCACTCCGAAAATTTCTGACTTCGGGCTTGCAAGACTTTATCCTGCGAACCACAGCATAGTATCGTTGACTGCTGCAAGAGGAACCTTGGGATATATGGCTCCCGAGCTATTCTACAAGGACATCGGTGGCGTCTCTCATAAAGCTGATGTTTATAGTTTTGGGATGTTGCTGATGGAAATGGCCGGTAGGAGGAGAAATGTAAATGCAAATATTGAGCGTTCAAGCCAAATTTATTTCCCTTTGTGGATTTATGATCAACTCAGCAAAGAAAAGGAGGTTGAAATGGAAGAAGTAGAAGAGGAAAGAGAGATAACTAGAAAGATGGTAATAGTTGCTCTTTGGTGTATACAATTAATGCCCAATGATCGGCCATCAATAAGCATGGTCCTAGACATGCTTGAAGGAGATATTGATAGACTGCGACTGCCCCCGAAACCGCTTTTGTATCCGTCCGAGAAGCCAATTGACGATGTCGACATTGAAATAGAACTTGAATCATTCTCAACCTCATCAAGTGCCCCACCAACTTCTTACGGGTACCAATTTCGGAATAACAATGAAATTACGGAATCATGCATTGTTTAATTTTCTTTTCTCCATGTGGGAATGAAATGCAAAATGGACATAGTTGCATCAGAAGCATAATTGACATGTAATTGGTGAACCTAGATGATTTCAGCGTTTGTTAATTCCTGTGTTTTGTAGAAGAATTGCCTCATGGCTATCTATTTACACTTCTTGTTTCCTGAATGCTCTTGATATGATTGACCAAGCCCGTCTTGTATGAAGTAATGAGTCTTTCTCTCTTCTCTCCACCGTCCAATATCAAGCAGATTCAAGCTCTCCCCTTCCCGCCAAAACCTCTCACCCTCGACCCTCGACTGCCACCCGATCACCCACCTCGATGGCGGCCACCTCCACAGAGCAATCTCCCGCCTCGACCTCATGTCCCGTGATGGGTCCCATCCCGACCTCCTCCCCTTCTCTCTCCTCCTCAACTCTTGCATTTGCTCCCATGTGTTTGCGCTCGGGAGGCGTGTCCACTGCGCTTGCTTAGTCCCAGCTCGAGCCCGACTCGGCAATTCTCAACTTGGCTCATCAATCTCTACTCAAAATCCAATGACTGGGCTGAGGCGGAGAGGATTTTCAGGGACATGGGTTATAAGAGGAGTTTCTTGGAGTTCCATGGTCTCTTGTTTTGCCAATAGTCTCATGGAGCTTGAAGCGGTTGAAACTTTCGTTCATATGCTTGAAGATGGTTTTTTCCCTAGTGATTATTGTTTCGCAGCAGATATCCAGGCGTGTTCGGCTCCGAAGAATGAATCAACTGTCTTGATTCCGATGTGTGTATTGGGTGTGCATTGCTTGACATGTTTGCAAAGGGTAGTACTGATTTGGTTTCAGCTAGCAAGGTATTTGAGAATATGCTGGAGAGGAATGTGGTTGCTTGGACTTTGAAATCATAGAAAAATAATTATTTTTATTTCTTTTAGTTTAATTTTTTTGTGGAATTGTCTTTTTGCTGGAAGATGAGTCTTGAGACCCGAACTCACAATTTTTTAAGCATGAAAATGACTTTTGCGAAAATAAAACTCAAGTTATCGAAGGGTAAAATTAAATAGCTAATGAAATACCTAATCCTAGAAGCACCGTTTGTGTCTTCACTCCTTTCCTCTTTTGTGCCCATGTCCCAACGGCCATGCACCGGTACCCGGCTCTCATGCCCAAGTCAATGTTGCCTAGCCCAAGCGCCGAGGCCTTTGATTTTTTTTTTTTTTGGTCATAAAGCTCTTGTAATTTCATTTACTTAGAAGATAGTTCGTTACAAGAGATCATGATATCCGAACAAAGTATTGATAAAAGGAAAGAAGGGGGGTGCAAGAGCCAGTTCGGTTTGAGAAGGCCTTTTTGATGGGCTCGGGCTAGGCAATCGGCAGCTTGATTCTTTTCTCGGCCGCAAAAAGAGATTGATCCGTGCGGTAATTGGACTAATAAGCTTTGGCAGTCTTGGACGACCGATTGGATTGACCATGGGCTAATTTCAAGGCCCATTATCCACTTAATACATGTGGAACACCTAGGCCTTTGATTCAAGTGCCGATATTTAGTCGTATTTCGGAAAATTATCTTTTATTTTTCAAAAGAGAAATTATTTTCCTGTATCTAATAATAGTTTTTCTATTGACTATGAATTTTTTCTATTGACTCGTTTTCCTAACCGATCCAAAAGTCAGAAAATGTTTTCCGACATAAAATTTTCTGCGAATCAATATTAAAAAGCTAGCCATCTTTTTTTGAAAATGACTTTCACGTAAAATATTTCCCTCCACGAAGAAATTTTTCGCGAAACAAACAAGAAATTAATATCGTTGGTTCTGATATTGGAAGTCTAATCTTGGAAGGACAATCAATTGACCCCAGTGAACGCAAACAAGAAAATGCGGACGTGTTCAATAAGCAATAACAAGAGTATGGATAATTATATTAGAAATGTATAGTAAATTTAATGAACCAGGAAATTTCAGGGCGTAGATATTGGACTTTTAGGCTTTGTTCATTCCACGAAAAATGTGACGTTTTTTAAAAATGTTTTTGGGAAAGTGATTTTTCAGGAAAATGATAATCATTTTCGGTATTTAGCTGGAACTTGAAAATGCATTGGAAAATATTTTTCGTTTTTCACTATGAAAATCTAATTTCATTTTCCTCATTAAACTCCTTTTAATAATTTTTTATTTTTATTTTTTAAAAAATTCGAATATTTAATTTTTTAATTTTTGAATAATTTTTTATATTTCTTTTCTTGTTCTTCTATTTTTTTTATTTTCTTTCTTCCTTTGCCGGCCACGGCGATGCCCAACGACTTGCCACAGGCAAGGGAAGAGCTCACCCAAGGCCGACCTCCCTGGCCTGCGCCTCCCCGGTCTCGAGCAAGGCCTTACCTCACCACCGAAGAAATGTGAAGGAGCATAGAGAGGAAAAGAGTAGGAAAAAAAATATTTTCCCCACTTTTGAAGGTGTTTCTTCCTTTGAGCTTGACTAGTTTATTTTCTTTGAACCGAACGCGCCGAGATATCCGGAAAACATTTTCCTGAATTTGCGTGTTCTTTTACCGGTCAAAGTCAATAGTCAACCCGTGGAACAGAAGTCAAAGTCGTCGCTGGTTGGTTCAAATCGCTGTGCGTTCCCGCACCGAATCCCCTCCCCCTCTCTTTCTCTCTCCGACAGAACTGAAACTCAAGAAAGCTTTCCGATGGTCGCTCCGCCGCGTTTCCTCCTCGTCCTCCTCCCGCTCCTCGCTCTCGCCACCTCCGTCCATAGCGCCGACCCTCTGTACCAATTCTGCGGGGGCACCGGCAACTTCACCGCCAACGGCACCTACGCGGCCAGCCTCAGCACCCTCCTCGCCTCCGTCGCAGCTGCCACCGCCAATGCCGCCGCCGACTACGGCTTCTACAACCTCTCTGCCGGCCGGAACCCCAATGCCGCCAACGCTGTCACCCTCTGCCGGGGCAATGTAGGGGCCGCCGACTGCGGGAGCTGCCTGAACGACTCCGCCGCCGAGATCGCCCGCCGGTGCCCGGCGCAGAAGCAGGCGATCCTCTGGTACTACAACTGCATGCTCCGGTACTCGAACCGATACATTTTTGGGGCCATGGAGGATATGCCTGCCTTCTTCATGTCGAACCCCAACAATGTCACCAACAATGTCGATCAGTTCAATCAGGTTCGAAAACGGGAAGTTATTTTTTTACGTGCTTATGATTTCCTGATCGTATACATTGCATTGCATTTCGTTTGTTTCCATGAAAGCGGAGTGCATACTTCTTGACGTGTTGACTTCGTTGACTTTCATCGAAACTTTCCAAAGTTTTCGACATAGTAACCATGAGAATCCTCATCTCCGTTTGACAATGTGCCCGACGATGTGGATCAGTTGGATCAGGTTACTTTGTAATGCTTTACCCTCTCTTTTATTATCACCCATTACTTGTACCGTTGTACGGTTAAAGGGATAATCCGACCACAGCACTTGTCATCAGGATTGCTTTTCTTGTTTTCTTGACTGGTTGGGTGTGGACCAACCAATAACCCATTTCGAAGTGCTAGACAGTTTCCTACAGAGCACATGGTTAATCATGGTGCTAACAATGTTTTTGTTTTCTTGTTGCGTTTTTTATTGTCTCTGCGACTTGTTCTCAAAGAATGTGTTTTTTCCCTTTCGTCTTGAATTCTTGAACTTTATGTTTCCTGTAAGCCATTGGGATTGGCACATAGCTTTTCAGGGTAGTATGAGCTCACAGGCGCATTTGATGTTAGGTATCGTTCTTGGATAGCAGCTAACAATTCATATTGCATTCAGATTGAGTAGGAGTTTATGGTTTGGGTAATGACAAAGTACTAATTCTTGTGTTCTTCTCCTGACGGTAGCTTATAGTTTTGGTTCTATATTCTAGGTTTTGAGAGATCTGATGGATGGTTTGAGAGACCGAGCTGCAAGTGGCAATTCGACGAGGAAATTTGCCGTTGGAAATGCGACAGCTCCAAACTTCCAAACTCTGTTTGGACTTGTGCAGTGCACTCCAGACTTGTCGCAGCAACAATGCGACGATTGTTTGGTGAAATCCATTGGACAAATTCCAGCGTTGTAATCAGAAACAAGGAGGGAGGTTTGTTGGTCCCAGTTGCAATATCAGGTTTGAAGTATACCGCTTTTTTTATCCTTGGGCTTATGAGCCGCCACCATCACCACCACTGGCACCACAATCACCAGTTTGTCCTCCGCCTCCTCCAATGAATAACCCATCCACTAAAGGTACTTCCTTTTAACGTACAATTACCTGGTCCAGAGCATGCTTTTAACTTCAATGAGCTCCTCCTACAAACAAGGGACTAGGGGTTGTAAGTCTCCTTCCCCTGCTCCTCCTCCTTTGAGTATGGTTGCATTAAGTGGATTTTAAAGCATGATGTAATTCGATCAACTTTTGATTCTGAGTGTAATAAGTTCCCTAGACACTTATGTTTCCTCTTGAATGAGGTATAAGCATGAAATAACTAGCAGATGAGAAATTAATAGATCTCTGATGCATCACGAGTCTTTCATTCTTTCAATTTAAGTATCACTGTCTCAAGTAATTTCATATGAAAACTGATAGACTAACACCAAGGACTGCTTTAAATGTGCAACCCCCCCTAAAAACCATTTTTGGTAATTGGGTCTGAACACTGATGTCTATGAGTTTATTGTCTAACATAAGAGCTCTTCCTTTTTTTAGGAAAGGGTGCTAACTCAGGTCATATTGCCCTCATTATCACAATCCTAGCTGTTGGATTATTTCTTTTAATTGCTGGAATGTTATGCATCTGTTTGAGGTCAAGAAGATTGAAAGAAAATTTTGACGGTAAGTTCTGATTACTTCTGCATAACTGATTTTCATAGAGTACTAGGTGAACACGATCTATTTGAAATATATCGGCAGCCAATATGTTCAGCCACGATGTACAAAAGCTAGTAACTTTTCGGAAACTCAGAGGCCGGTGATTTCTGACTAAACAAGAACAGATTCAGTATGGGCAATAGATATCAAAGTTCCCTAATTGCTCTGGAAAACCTTCTATTTGCTACCATCATCCAGAGGAGAAATTTTTCTTCGATTGGCTTAACTGTTAAATAAGAATGAAGTACTATTAACTGTTAAACCAGCAGAGAGGCTTACCGATTATATGGAATTAGACAATAAGCAACTTTGCATTTTCCACTTTGTAGCTGTACCTGTAGATGAAATCA